ACAAGTGATATTCTAACTCATCTCCTCACTTGTGGTTCCTTCATAAGAAGCCCAAACCCATATATGGAGCCGTGTGCCCAAGCGCTACTAGAAACGGGCTGGGTAAATAGGTACGTCATTGCACGGTCCCAATAGAACCGGCTCTAATACCATGTTACGAACCTAGGTTTTCTGTATTAATAATCTCCTTTGATATGAAAGAGCCATATATAAAGAGTTGATCGTGGGCCTTATGGGCCTGGGCCTGGGCCTTGATATACTTAACAGTAATCATAATATTTAATAAATTGTGAAGGGACTTTTTGAAATTCTTGAAGGGGGAAATGTAAGACCGAATCGAAACTTGAGGAGTTCAGTAATTCTGAGTCATGTCTCTATTCTTTTNTATTTTCAAATAAAAAAATGGAAAATACACCAAACATCAGGGGTGGTAGTTCTAATTATTCCAAAATTATAAATGCCAACGATAAGCAAAAAACAATACTTACTGAAATAAAACCACAAACATAACTAGACTTAAATCTCCAGCTCCTAATATATGGTAAAAACTTACCTGCTCGATCCAATTCATCATAGAATAAATTTCGCCCCTTGGTCTCCAAAAGAAAGGCTTGAAACCCTTCTCCTTGGGTGTTACTTCTATAAGCGCCTTCTTGTCTCGATCATCACTATCAATGACAATCTCTAAAGCCGTCCTATCTGGTGAAACCCTAACAGCTTGATCCACTTCATAGCCGGTCTCATTTGCTGTCACATGAGAGTGCACCTTCTGCAGCTCGCAGTTAAGATCCACATTACTTGCAAGGCTATGACTTCTGGGATTAACCTCACAGCCAAAACTGCAATCTCCTTCCGTACTAAATGAGCTAGTTTCCACAGGATCCATATTTATGCCTTCATTTTTTATTCTCCGTGAAGTCCCAGAAAGAAAAAGAGCCAAGTCGTCACATTCTTGTTCGTCCAAATTTACCCACCGAAATGGTTTCTTTCCCTTCATGTCCAATGATTCTTTCAGTGATGTTTCAACACGCGAAATTTGGCCTTCTATAGCAGAAACAAATTGCTTATGTCGGGTGATTGTAATATCGTCACTGTTATTTCTGTAGCTTAGACGAACAGCCTTCTCAAACTCTTCCAACTATACAATAAAACAAATGAATAATTATAGAAAATATAATGAACTAAAGACTGTCCATAAAAATCAGTTCCACAAACTATCAATAAATAATTATGCCTTCGTTGAATTTTTTTACGACTGATTCAAAAGAAATAGAAGATACGACAAAGGAGAGGCTTGACGAAGACATTCTGTTTGACGAGCGAAACAAACTCATTTTGCTGGAAATGAGAAATATGAAATGTATACATAAAAAGTGAAGTATATGACCTGCCATTTGGTAGTGCCTAAAGCCATTTGAAGCTCTCGACTAAGTTCGTCCAACTGCTGAGACATGGAGCTCTCTCTCCTTGCTCTGAGCCATGTCCTGTAAGCGGATTCCATACTGCAAAGCATAAAAGCACAGTACAATGTCGTTCACCTAACCAATCAATATCATATCCCAAAAACCAAAAAACACTAAATATGTATGCCAATTAAATTATTACAATTGCGGCAAAGAAATGAAAACTCATCGAAAAACAACAAGCGGAGATGTTATAATATTCCAGAACCTCCATAAAAAGAAAAACCCCAAAACCCTGAACCCACCATGGAAATTGAATGGGAGAGAGAAAAATTACAGATAAATTGCACATACAAACAGAAAAGGATCCATCCATCCATCCATCTCAACAAACAAAGAAGCACGAAATAAAACATGAACTCGATTCGATTCACACACAGAACACACACTTACATGTCGGCGGATAACTGAACCTCCTCGGCGGCAGAGAAGAAGGTGTCCTTCTGCCATAAATCGAAACTATTCGCAACCAACATCCTTTTTCCCTCTTTTTTACCTCCTTCTCAACAATAAAAAACAATAACAGCGGCAGCAACTTCGGTACAAACAAAATATAGTATACTTCAAAAAAAATTGTTCGATTGTACGAATGCGCGAGATTGTTTGTCCTTTCGATCTTCCTCTCTTCTTTTGTTTGAAGAAGAAACAAAGGAAGAGGGAATTGCCAAAGCAGACAACAGATGAGAGAGAGAGAGACGTAAGAACAAATCTTATTAATTTTAATTATTTAATTGATTTCTGTGGTCCAGGATAAATATGGGGGTATGAATATGATGCGAATGCGATGCCTGCTTTTCAATACTCTTTTATTTATTACACTTTTATTTTTTAATCCTATTTTCTTTTATTATTTAACAATTGCTTTTGTTTTTCGAATTTTTTATTTAAACAAAAAAAATTACTGGACAAAAATAAAAAAAAAAAATATGGAAATACGTTTTAAAAAAAACGTATTTTCATAACATAAATACATTTTTCTAAAAATGTATTTTCATAATACGTTTTAAAAAAAACGTATTTTCGTTATACGGTTTATTATTAAAATTAATTTTACAATTTTATAAAATTATTTATTTGCAAAATATTTTAATTTTACAATTTTATAAAATTATTTATTTGCAAAATTTTTTTTTTTAAATTATAAAACGTATTTTGGAAATACGTGTTTGTTTAAACGTATTTCTGAAATACGTTTTCATTTTGATTTTGCCCCAAATTGATTTTGCCCTAATTTTTGCCCCAAATTGATTATGACCTAATTTTTGCCTCAAATTAAAACGTATTTCCGAAATACGTTTTTTTTAAAAAAATAATTATTCTGAAATTCTGTTTTACAGTGCCAAAATTATTCCTGTTCAGAGTAAATAATAATAATACACTTGTTAATCGATATCTATTCAACAACATTCCACAAGCTCATATCAATCAATTATTCAAAGAAATAAAAACAACCACAATAATATATTCAAAATATATAGATAACCAAATATCATTCAACATAATCCACCAAAAAAAAAAAAGTTCACAAAATTCCCATAATACAAACTAACTAGAAAGGAGTGTACGTATCTGGAGGTCTATGCTGCCGGGACCCCTTCCTAGGAGGTTTATGTCCTGAAGAAGACGAGGCTATGATCGTGATAGGTGTGGCAGCTTCTTCTTCTTGACCTGATTAAATATTTTTTTAAAAAAAAATCAAAA